AGAGGGAAAAGGGACCCCAGTGGGGAGGGTCTATTTATCCTGGAGAAGATTGCCTGAAGTGATCTTCTAACGGGAGTGTTTCCAGAGGAGGGGCTGGGTCGGGAGAGGTGGGGACAGCTGGGGACGGCTCTGAGCAGCGCGGCCCCGGGCACCCCACACCACTACATGGTCTGGGGAGGAAGGTGGGAGCAGGCACACAAGAAGGGACCTCTGGGGGTCAGTGGGCCCCTGCCATGTGGAGGGGTGCCCAGGGGACCCTTGGGGACAGGGAGGGGGCAGGGTGGGTGGCGGCACTGGGAGGGGGTGAGGGTATGGCCCATGTCCTCCTCCTCGCAGAATGTCTGCCACACACTCTGGTGCTCTGTGGGGACCACCTGTCACTCCAAGCTGGATGCAGCCGTGGATGGCACCCGGTGTGGGGAGAATAAGGTAGGGGATGTCCCCAGTCCCGGCGGTGGGTGTGTGAGACGCCAGACCTGCTGTGACCGGGCCCTGGGGTCAGCCCCGGCTCACAGTCTTGCTTGTTCTCCTAGCAGAGCCCCTCACTCTCTACAGCCCAAGGCTCCATCTGCAAAGCGGAGGCACTGGGGCCAGGGCTTGATTCCACGATTCCCCAGGGTGTCTTCAGCTGAGTCAGCACATGGGCTGTTTTACTCCCTGCTCAGCTCCTCCCTGTGGCCTGGGTCACAGATGATTGTGATGATTGTGAGGGGGTCTCTCTCACCTTCCATCCTTCCCCTCTGTGCCTTTCGCAGCCTTCCCACCCACCTTGTTCTCACTAGGGTGAGGATGACTGATAGGCTGGGGGGTGGGGTGGCTCTACCTCCATCTGTCACAGTAGTGGTGTCTCAATGGGGAGTGCGTACCCGTGGGCTTCCGGCCCGAGGCCGTGGATGGTGGCTGGAGCGGCTGGTCCATCTGCTCGCGGAGCTGTGGCGTGGGCGTACAGAGCGCCGAGCGGCAGTGCACGCAGCCTACGTGAGTGTGGGGCCCAGGGTACCCTGGGCAATGGGACAGAGGGACCCAGGCAGTCAGCCGATTGCAGGAGCTTGGCTCTGTCCCAGACCCTGGCTCTGAGAAGTGTCTTCATAATGGTCAGTCCGAGTGTCCAGGCCACCTTGAGTCACTTTCAAGCAGTGTTCTGGGGACTGACAGGGTCCCCACTGCTGACCCCTTTCCAGAGAGGGGGACACTGAGGCCCAGAGACTGGAGAGACTCATCAGAGGCCACATGGCAAAGCAGCTGCTGGTTGGAAGGAGGCAGGAGAGGGCAGTGGCGAAGAGCATGGGTCTCAGACCTTAGATGGCTCTGAGTTCGAGTCCTCTGTTCACCCCTTCTCTGGGCCTCCGTTTCCCCGTCTATGTAATAGCAGTGCCCATCCAGTAAAGTTGTAGTCGGGGGCAAATGCAGTTTACGCAGGCCAGGCCCTCAGTTTTGCAGCTCGTCTGTAGTGGGCACTCAGCGGGAGGGGCTTGGTGGCCTCAGAGGCACAACAAAGGTCTGAGATG